GCTGGATAATCTACATCATTGTTTTGAACCTAAGGTCATGGGATGTTTTGTGAGTCCCCAGACAAGCAGGTGAACTGAATGCCACAGAGATGGAACACAAGAACTGTTTCCTCTTGGTCACAGCACAGAGGATGAGGCAGCTGTCGGGTCAGTGGGTGGGAAGAAAACAAGTAAAACTTTAAAGGATTCTTCAAGGTCCTTTGTGGGCTATGGGGATGGTTCAGAGTAGAATCGGGGGGACCCAAGCACACTGGAAGTCCACACCATTCATAGCTTCTTTTCCTTTGGCTCCACCAGGTGCTGGTGAGAAAGATGAGGGGCAGGCAGGGAGGACTGGAGACTGGAGAGTCACGACGCAGGCTATGGGGCCTGACGAGCTTTCAGGGTGGAACAGGCCCTGCGTGACCATGAGGCGGTGACTGGCCACCGCCAGGGAACAAGCACAAGGCCACAGACCCTCCTGACACAGGAAACAAATGCCTTCAGTCTCTGCCTTGTCTTGTATCTTATCTCCGTCAGGAGGCAAAAGCCATAACCTGCTGGGGGTGAGGCAGGAACCCCGTGCACACACTGGTCCCAGGTGAAGGACTGTGCCTCTGGGGAAGGACAGAAGCTTGCCCACACCCCGCACCCTGCAGAGACTCACAGGGGAGGTGCTCTCGGACCTGCTTTTGCCCAAGACCCACACTGACGTGTAGAAGAGGTCTGCTGCTGCCAGAAGAGGAGTGACAACCTCACTTATACCCCAAACTCTCCACTGACACAAGGCCAAGTTCAGCCACCTGCCCTTCTAGACCTGTGCTGTGGAATTTTCTGCGATGACAGAAATGTTTTATAACTGTGCTGTCCAATACAGGAGCCACAAGCTGCATGTTCTATGAATCAGCCTTACTTGTAATTAAATTCCAAACACTTGTAATTATAATTAATTACAATTACATTTTAAATAACCACATGTAGCTTGTGCCTAGGACACTGCCGCTCTAGACCTGTACTAAGGCAGAGGCAGAAGTTGCCCGCCACAGGCTCAGAGTAGGAATGCTGAGAAAGTTCCACTTTAGAGACTCAGGTACATAGCACTTGCCTCCCCCTATTGCTCGAACAGGAGAACCAAGAGAACCCTCTGCCCCACTCACATCTCATGCTGAGTAACAGGGTCTGTTTGGTAGAGGAGAATTACTGCAGAAAACCCCTGACCACCCAGACTTCCCAATAAGAACATGGAAATAGCAGCCCACCATGGGAGAAGCTTAAAGCCTATGGTACCTGTAGCAACAACAAAACCCAAAGATAGTTCAACTATTGACCAGATTGGCTCAACCCCTCACATTAATGGCCTGGCAGAAAAAGGTGTATCTACTTCCAGGTATACGTAACATTTACCTTGATGTCTACTATTCTTTCACACATGTAATAGGCATTGAATAAAAATTCTGTCTGACACACAAAAAGCAACTCCCCCAAGCCCATTATCAACAGACAGAACAGACAACACAAAAAGATCAAAGGATGGCCCAGATGGTGAAACTATCAGACAACTTCAAGTAACTATAATTAATATCTTAAAGAATCCAGTGAAAAAGTGGACAACATGCACGAACAAATGGGTAATCTTAACAGACATGGAAGTGATTTTTTTTTAAAGCCAAATGGAAATATTAGAAGTGAGAAACATGGTATCGAAGATGAACTCCTTCAATAGGCAGACTGGGAACAAAAGAGGAACGATTCAGTGAAACTGAAAATATATGAATGGAAATTAGAAACACAAACAACAAGAAGAAAAACACTGTGGTTAAAAATCAAAAAGCTGCCAAAGCAAAACGAAACCAGAAGAGAACTACCAAGAGCTATGGAACGACATCAAACAATCTAACACATGTACTCGACATCCCTTAAGAAAAAGAAGGAAAGGAAGGGACCAAAGAAATAATTTCTAAAACACAGCTGAGAATTTTCCAAAATATAGCTATTAATAACAAACTGTCAATACAAGCAGGATGGATACAAAGAAAAACACATCTAGCACAACAGTGTTGAAAACCAAAAATAAGGAGAATATATAATACATTGAAGGAAATGGATAAAAGGAAATTAAGCCTTGGACTTAAGCCATGGCCTCTCCATAAAAGACCAATGACTGTTTAGCCTTTTAGTAAAATGTGGATTCTAGCAAAATTGTCTCCCACATTTGCAGCCCTTACTGGACCACATAAACGATAACCAGGATGAAAGGATTTTGTGTTCCCTCGCTAAGGCATCCATGCAGTAACCACAGAATGCGAATCTGAGGGTGCAGGCATGGCATGGCATTTTGTGTAGACTAACCAAAACTTCTCAAAGATGTAAGTTGCTGAATAGTGTGGTTTTTGTTGTTGTTGTAACAGAATTAAAATGATCTTTCGAGATAGGGCAAAATCGCCCGGAATTAGAATGATCTAAATACTAAACGTAATGTGAATACAAAACTGAAACTGAAATGTGTTACGGTCCAAATGTAATGATATCGTTTTTGTATTTGGTCCTATAAAACCCAATAATATTGGGGAAAATATGAATTTGCAGAGATTGTTCCTCTAGAACTTTTTTTAAAAGTCTCTTTTGGTTCTTGACGTTAATTAGATTGCATTAGCTGATAATTAGCTTTTGGAAAGTTGCACTAATAAGCAAAGAATATCTGTATCCATTCAATGCTTAGGAAATATAATTTCAAAACTAAAGCTGTCTATGATAAAATACAAATAATGCATGAAAAAGAATTAGAGTTTGAGGCAAAACCTGAGAGGCTTAGATCTACTTACCCTGTTCCTCTAGAGTACTCCACTAATTGTATGGGATTCTGTCTAAAATGCTGGGTGCTTCTAGTTGAGACCCTGTTGGGTGCTCCCTTAATCAAAGGCTGGGATTTGTTTTCTTTTCCTGCAGTGAGTGCTCGAGAGCTGCTAAAAGGTACCACCTGCACCTGGACACCTCAAGGCAGTTCCAGGATCCTCAAGTCAAGGCTCAAATATTCAAATGAACATGAGACTTTTAAATTTGGGGTCGTTACTGCAGTTTGTTTAGTTTAAAAATATACAAGAAAGTACATCAGTTGGTAGAGTCAAAATATTCAAGTAAACAAAAGGCAGATGTATGTACTAGGTAAGGGGGTCGGCTCTGCAGCCAATCTGCTTGGGTTCCCATCTCATTTTTGCTCCTTACTGGCTTAGGCCTCAGTTTCTCATTTTTTAAAAAAGGGATCATAATAATATCTACCTTATAGGGGCCTAAAAGAATTTTTAAATTCATTAACAAGTTGTTATGAGACCTAAATTTTGTAAGGCTTCTTAAATGAATAAATATGAAGGCCCAGACCTGGCATGGGATAGTGGTCTTTGTAATTATAACAATTTGTATCAGTCTCATTAATAAACTTTATATTAAAACAAAGTAAAAAACTAATCAAATTGGAAATATTACTTTCTTGAGGGGACCCAAAAGGTATTTTTTTTCCTGCAGTGATTTTCTTCTGTGGTATAATCATGTCTATCATCCGTAATCAAGTGCAATAATATAGTTATGTACCCATCATGCCCAGATTTTGGTTAATATCACTAGTTTCACTGAGAGGAACCAGGTTCCTTGTATGCTGGCAGCTTTAAAATGCATTATTAACAGCACTATGAAGACTGCACACATAAGATAACTTCTTAGGCTGAACTAAAACTAACTTAAATCTCTTTAATAATGCTCAAGGTGAAATAAATATTTAAGTCATATCATTACAGGCCGTCATATTTGTCTAATCCTTTATTGTTTATGAAGTAATTTTATATTCAGTAAGTACTCCAATTACTAATATCCATATAATATAAATATGATGTTATAAACCAGAAGGAGAAACCTGCTATGGATTTGCTTTAATGAGTACAGAAACTGCCTCTGTCCTCCACCAGAAAGATAAGAAGAGTGATTTTCTTAACAGGACCTCCGAGGGTATTTTTTATGGCCTACAGAACTGACGTGGAAGGCTAGAATATTATTATACTGGAAAGGATATTATTATTATGTGTTTTCTCTAAAGTTTGTATTTTATAGCTAAGGTAAAAAAGTGAAATCCAGGAAAGGCCGAAATTAGAATTGCTCTTGAGGGATTAAGCAGGTCTCTTCAAAGCTGGAAAAACATGTCATTTATGTACAGATCATAAGCACCTTTAAAAGGCCAGACTGAAAAGGAACTGTGTGAGAGATAATACAGTGGAAAGACAGGTAAAGCAAATTCAAGAACTATTTAAAACATCAAATTTCCAAGTGGAAAGTTCATATAAAGTATCTAATTGTGCCCTAAACAGAATAGTGGGTTAAGAAATGTAGCTGGATGGAGGGTGAGCTGCTCACGGGTTTTTATATAGCAGGTGAGGCAGATGCTTGAGTTTGGGAAAGCCGTATGTAACAGGATGACTAGAGTGCAGTGACAAGTGTTGACAAGCTAAAAAACACAGGGCACCCTTGGAAAAGAATGGAAGGCAGTACCAGGCAGCACCCTGTGAAGCAGTGAGTTGTCCTTTCCTGTTTTCTGTCCCTTCCGATAACTTACATTATTTTCAACATCTTTCTTGCAAATGTATTTGCTCATGTGTATTAATTGGTGTTCACATGCTTACAGACACGCCTCTCTTCAAAAATGTTCCTATTACTGGCAAATGCCCTGCAAGGCACCATCTTTTATACTTTTTAGTCCTAAAATGTTGTGTTCTATTTATTTGGCAGTTTGCCATTGATAATTCTTATTACTCCTGAGCACTTATTCCTAACTGAAAGAATGGGGATCCTTTTGGAATTTGGACTTTTGTTTCTTTCATTGTTTTGTCTTTTTCTTAATTAATCCCCAAATGTCCATCCTAAATATGAACATATAATTTTAGACACATCACTTTTACTTTCTCATGCCAAGTTAAATATCTTTAAAAAAAAACTAAGTATAGTTTTATAATAAATATTGAGACAGAATATAATCTTACCCTGGTGTGAGTACGAATATGCATCTTCAGTCCATCATTTTTACTGAATCCTTTTTCACAGTAAGGGCATTGATAGGGACGCTCACCTGCAAAGGAAGTCTTCAGGTCAGAAAAAAGTAAACTAGCAAAGCAAGCACTGCCATCACTCCCCCAACTCATATCCTAATCACCACATATGCTCTTTGCACTGCCAAAAAGAGGCTCCCTGCACAGCTGGGCTGACACACCATGGGCGCTGCAGGGCAAAGGACTGTGCCTTCCCCTCCTGTGGAGAGGGACTGAGCCCAGAGCACTTCCAACATTTCAACATTGGCCAGCAGCAGGCTTCTTGCATATTCCTTTTATTTATTTTTATTTTTTAAAAGATTTTATTTATTTGAGAGTGAGCGAGTGAGAGAGGACACATGAGCAGGGGCAGAGGGAGAGGCAGAGGGAGAAGCAGACTCCCCTGCTGAGCAGGGAGCTTGACATGGGGCTTGATCCCAGGACCCTGGGATCATGACCTGAGCCAACGGCAGACCCTTAACCGACTGAGCTACCCAGGTGCCCCGGCATATTCCTTTTACCACTTGAGCCCAAATTAAATCTTCTGATTTTAAGAATCTCTTAAAAGGACTTTATATTAATCCATTCATTCTGTCACTGTACTACTCATTATAGGGGTCTTTAATTGATTTATTGATTCTTTGTTTTAACAAAGACTTCATATTCTGTCTCAGTTGGGGTGATGAGTTTCAAAAGAATTTCACACATTGGTACAGGTTAAACAGAACCACTGGTAGTTTAATAATTGATCCATACTTGCTGCTATAACTGAGTATCTTGCATCTAGAGGTTATTATTTAGAAAAGAGCCAAGTCATTTTTTTTAAAAAAACTTACAAGTAAACGTACACATCACATTAAAAAAAAAAAATTCTACTGTGAAATGACAAAAATGTGACAAAATTTAGTCTCCAGGAGGAATTTGAAGCTGCCCTCTAGTCAAAGCCTAATTATTTAGAAAAAACAGTCACTCAAAATCACTATTTCTTCTTTATTGTCTCATTTAACAATGCACTTACACGGGAGGATGCTAGACCCTGCAATCAAAGATGGACACAGTATAACGTTTGCCTTCTGCAAATGTAAAACGTCCTATCTGTCTTTCCTTTCCCTCAGGGACAGGGCTTTTCACAAGCAGCACAATTAGTCCTTTACTCCCCCATGTACCATTTGATTCTCATTCTCGTTCAATCCGGGTATCACTCGCATTATTCCAGCAAACTCCCCTATCAGGTCAACAATGAAATCCTTGCTGCTCCAATGGTCACTTGGCATCACGGTCTTCCTGGACCTCTCCCTAGTCATGAGATGACAGCGACATTCTTGAGGGGCCTTGCTCTGTCTATGAACTGAGTGTTTTCAGCAGTAACATCACAGGGGGGCGAATATAGCAGAGCCCCCAGCACAGCCGCATTTTCCCAGCCTCTCCCTGAGAAGGAGCACCCAGGACTCTCCCCTTGAACTGGGCACTGTAAAATAGGATGACAACCATCCAGAATGGAAATGAATAAACAATAAAGTAACAATGGCAGTACAAACAGAAGCAGGACTCTTTACAGAACTATCTACACTTCCCAACTTCTTCTGTGAGATAAAAGTCAACCTTTGTACTAGATAAGTGGACCTGGAATTTTTGGCCTTATTATAATCATGACCCTACGGGTGTCTTTACTATCAGAAGACTAAAGGTGTAGAGTCCAACTTATTTGAAAAACTATGAAAGTATAATCTTATTTTAACACTAAGTTGATAATATATATTTATCGTAATTCCAGATCTCTCTGTTGAGACCTGGTCTTGAGACAGCCATATGTCCACCAGGTATCTTCATTTGGATAGCCCATGGACAAGTCAAATACAGCGTTCTGAATTCATGTCTTCAACTTCTGATCCTGGGTATCCTGCAAATCCTGTCCTGACTAGTTATACCACGCTCACCCAGTTACCAAATAAGAAACTTAGCCCTCCAACGTACTTCCTCTTACTCACTGCCCCCTGCATCCAGTCTCTAAGTCGTACTGATTGCCCTTCTCTGATATTTCTAGAATTCTCCTTGATGATGGGGACAAAAATGAAAATAATATTAATAGCAGTAGCAGCAGCAACAGTATTGGCAGTAGAAGGAGTAGTAGCAACAACTATCATTTATTGAGTTCTTGACCATCTAACCTTTCCCATGCATAGCCCCCTTGCAAAAAAAGAACTGAAGAATACAGCAAAACGCTAATCTAATGGTGGTAACACCTGCATCGTAGAATTCCAGATAATTTTTTATTTCCTTCTTCATAAAGTATGAAAAGCAAAGTAAACTTTAAGATTTTCAAAGTTTATCTTACTTTAGTGATAGATAATGAGGAATGCTAAAATGTTTAATAACAAGTCAATCAAAAATCAAATCTGGATTACAAATAAAGCATGATAAAAATAGTAAGGTGGTTTACACTTACAAAAAGTCATTTCAAAAATTTTCTAGCAAGCCTAAAATAATTTAATATTCATGGCTATTCTCTTTGTATAGCTTTGGGTGTTGTCTTGCTCTCCAAATACCAATAGACTAGCCAGCAAACAAAAATCAAAGACTCGCAGTCATCAGGTAAATTGTATGTTAATTAAGCCGAATATAATACACCAGGTTATTATTTTCTTTCATAATAGCTAAAGTGATTAAGCAAGGAAAAAGATATAGTTAAGGAATTTTAGAGAATGCAGCATAACAAATTCATTCCCTACCTTACCTAGTGTCATAATATAGAAATTTTCTCTATAGACATGAAAACGTTAACTTTTCTTTTGTTAGAAGCATAGATTTTCTCCTTTTTTTAGAATCTGATTGTCCTGAATTTGAATAATACTTGTCCTCTTTCTAGTTATAACTCTGGGGAAGTTATTCAACCTCACTAAACCTCTGAAAAATGGGATAAATTGTATCTATCTCATAGGGACAGTGACCATATATTCAGGTTTGCCTAAGGCAGTCTCAGTTTATGCTGGTTATCCCAGAACAATGATTAACAGTACTCCCTTCACTTTCACCAGTGTCCCAATTAGGACAATAAAAATACCCAGTTAACTATTATGGTTTGAACTGTACCCCCCCAACACACCTCTAATTCATATGTTGAAGTCCTAACCCCCCCACTCCAGTACCTCAAAATGTGTCCTTGGAAATGTTCTTTGAGTAGTGTGGATCCCTAATCTAATCTGACTGGTATCCTTATAGGAAGATGGTCATACGAAGACAGAGACACACAGGGAGAACCCCATGCAAAGAGCACAGAGATGCTGCCACAAGGCAAAGAACCACCAGAAGCCAGGACCTAAAACAGATTCTTCCCTAGTGCCTTCAGAGGGCATGTGACCCTGCCGACACCTTGATCTCATACTTCTAGCCTTCAGAACCGTGAGACAACAAATCACTGTTTAAGCCACTCAGTTTGTGGTACTTTATTACAGCAGTCCTAGCAAACTAATACAGTCACCTGACTCACAGTGTTGGCAATTATTATTTTCAATGATGTCTATCTCTCTGCTGCCCATGACGCTGCTGTAAACTGCCCAGGAGAGAAACTGGTATCTCTAGAGGACTGAATTGCTGCCCCATCCCTACTCCAACACTGAAATCCAGGGATACTGAGCTGGTATGTTTGGGAAACTTGAGTAAGTCTAACTCTACTTATTCATTCTACTTTCCCAGAATATAACTCCAGTTTTAAAGAATGTCACTGGGTAAATGGCTTTGATAAACAAAATTCATTTGAAATCTAGAGTGTGTGGTTTGCAAATCAGCCCAGACTGTACATTAAATTGCTACCTTCTCTACCTGTTTGGTTGGAGCATCTTTGCAGGAATCCTGCCCTTAAGACTCTGAGGACAAAGCCATTTGTGGTCCCACATAATCTGAAGCTGAAGGTTACCTGTATAAATCAACATGCTAATAACTATTAAAGTCATTTTCCTAATTTTCATACTAAAGGAAGCTGTTATTCTTAGTTTTTTCACATTATGCATATGGTATCTTCCTTCATTATTTCAAATTATTGTGATAAATATGTCTCTAGGAAATACATTTGTCTACACATAAAATTATTCTGGAGCAAACAGGAACCAATCTTCAATGTGAGTTAACCCTGAGAATATAAATCTTTCTTTCTTACTTGAACACTGCCAGTACATAGGTTCTGATGCACAATATGAAGCAAATCCAAGGAACTACCATTTTTTTAGAGATTTTATTTATGCATTTATTTGAGAGAGAGAGTGCATGAGTGGGGGGAGGGGCACAGGGAAAGGGAAAAGCAGGCTCTCTGCTGAGCAAGGAGCCCAACATGGGGGCTCAATCTCAGGACCCTAAGATCATGACCTGAGCTAAAACCAAGAGTCGGACGTTTAACCAACTGAGCCACCCAGGTGCCACAAGAACTACTATTTTTTTAATATCTCTGATAGATTTAGACACTGTCTTCATTTTGCTCAGGCTAATTAAAATGTTCAAATTTTAACTAACCTGAATATTAATTAATCTAGTAATTAGCTAAAAAATAGCTAAAAACCAATCTAAATGGAAATAATAATAGCTTAAACATATAGAACCTCTGTTCTGTTCAGAATGCCTAACGTATATTAACAATTTCAATTCTTGCAACCTTATGATCTAGGTATTCTATCCCTAGTTACAAATGAGGAAAGTAAGCCACTGAAAGGGTAAGTACTTTGCTCAGGATGACACAGCTATTAAGTGGTGGAATCAGAATTTTAACCCTTAACTCTTATGCCATTACATAAATTAATAATACAGCTAGTATTTTGTGTAAATGAGGTTAGCCTTTCTAAAGTTTCTGACAAAAACTCAGCTTCTTGTAATAGCAGTTAACATTAACCAGATCTTTTTGGCTGGTAAATTAAAGCATTCTTTTACTTATCAAAGCTCTTCAGGAAAAAGTAGGGGGCAGGTTAGGAATGTGTGTTATGTCTCAAAGCAGGTCCCAAGTGAATGCAAATACTAACATAATATAAAGCTGTGCATTGAGAACTCTCTATAGGTA